ACCTTACCTAACTTAACCTCTTAGTTTGTTTGCCTGGTAGGCAATGCTCTCGCTTCATACGCTTAGTGTCCGTAGTTCGATAGCCAGCAAAGGTGGAAACATTGGGTTGGTTTCCTTACACCTGTTGTCCCCGTTCACCTAGCAAGCAAGTAGGTACCTGGATGTTAGTGGACTGGTGTGGGTGGCATCCTGGGGGACATTGAAGGACCACAATGGAAATAAGACAGACAGTCCTCGATGACGCACTGTCTTTCTTTGGTTATCCTAGGTGAGTAACCCTCTGCAGTTAAAAATCCCAACAAAATCTTTGTGGAGGATTTTTCATAAGAACTGGAGTTTACCTGGAGTTTACCTGGAGAGAGTTCCGGGGGTCAACGCCCCCGCGGCCCGGTCTGAGACCAGGCCTCCTGGTGGATCAGAGCCTGATCAACCCGGCTGTTGCTGCTGGCTGCACGCCAAACCAACATACGAGCCACAGCCCGGCTGATCCGGAACTGACTTTAGGTGCTTGTCCAGTGCCAGCTTGAAGACTGCCAGGGGTCTGTTGGTAATCCCCCTTATGTGTGCTGGGAGGCAGTTGAACAGTCTCGGGCCCCTGACACTTAAATTGTTGGTCCTTTAACGTGCTATTTGACCCCCCTGTTTTTTCTTTGGGGGGGAAAGGGGGGCACTTTGCCAAGTCTTTTGTTTTTTCTTTAGGGGTGTTTTTTCGTGTGAAAAGTTCGGTACTAGCCCCCTCTTGGTTTTTTCCGGGTGTAAAAATATGTATCTTCCCTCCTGCGTTCCCAAGGGAATACGGGTTTTTAAAACCCTAAAGCGCTCCCAAAATTAAAGGTTGTTTTATCTCCTTTATGCGCGCCTTTGAAAGTTCTCTGTAAAATTTTCAGGTGGCAATTTCACCTCCCCTTAAAAAGGTGCTGTTATTTGTCCAGAATTTTTCCACCCCTAGATAGAACAAGTGCCTGAAGAGTGTCACCCTTGGGCTTGGCTCCCTAGTTTTAAAGGTTTTCATTATCCACCCTGCCCTTTTTTTCTAGCAGATGCGATTGATACAATTTTTGGCCCTTGAAGGTGAAAATCCCCCGACATGATAAATTTCCCAGGTTTTTTTGCTTTGGTTTTTCCCGCTCTATTTTGTGGCCAAAAAATTTGTTTTGTACTTTGATGAAGATTTAATTTCCTCAGGGTTTACCATATCTGAGAAATTAAATTTTTCTCATCGTTGAACTTATATTTTTTTCTGCACCCCACTGAAAGATTTGGTTTTGTTGTCTGCTGGAGTTTTGCAGGGTTCTGCAAGGGAAAGCCTGTCATGCAGATTCGGGTGTTCTTTTGGGCCAAAGGAAGCCGGGTGCTGTGGTGACATCCTTGTCTAGGGTCGGATTTGGGGGTGGGAAAAAGGGGACGGGGTATTTGTGCCTTGTGGAACAGAGCTTTTCCCCGTAGCTGCCTCGGACTTTACTCTTTTGGACGACTACTCTCTGTGTTCTGTTAGTGGGGAAAAATTATTAATTAAAATTTCCAAAAAATTAGGGGGGGTAAAAAAACCCTGATTAATACATTACTTTGTTCTTTGTGGGTATTTTAAAAGAGGGGGAACCAACAGGGAAGCTCTGCGCCTGCGCTGACGAGCAGGGCAAAAGGACGAAATTTGTTTTTGAATGTGATACAAGCACGTTTGTGTAATGTGTTTAAATTTTGTCTCTCTCGGGTAAAAATTGGGTTTAAAAAACCTTTTTCAAATGGGGCCCGAAATTTTTTGGTTTGCAGTCCGGCAAAAACATGAGTTTAAAAGCAAAAGGACAGGACAGCTCCGGAACCCCAGTAAGATGTTTTGTTTAGGGTTTGGGAATTTTTCCCCGTAATTTCTTCATAAATTTGACGGGGGGGGGGTTATGTAAATGACAAACAGGGATCTCCAGTATAATTAGTGAGCCCTTTATGATTAAAAAAATTCTCCTTCTGTTATATAAATGGGTATATGTAATCATTTTTTTAAATTTTAATATACAGTCTCCCATGTTTATATTTAAAATTTTTCCATAATTCCTGGTAAAGTTTATTTCATTTACAATTAATATAGGCTAGAGGGCCCCTTTTGGATTGGAAAAATTGTAGGTATCGAAGGGGGCCCCTTTTTTTTTGACCCAGGTGTCCCCAAAAATTTCCCACTTGTTTACGTAAAAATTTGATAAACATAATTATCTTTTTTACCCCTTTAATGGTTGTATCTAAGGGGATTCATCCAAAGGGAGATTAATTTTCCCCAAAACACAAAATGGAATTTGTTTCTAGCCGCACTTTGAACACTAAATACGTACAAAATCAGAATGCAAAAACAAATGATGTTGATGTATCATGCAGACGGGTGTGGGGTTTAGAGCCCCTGGGGTTCCCCGTGTTGCTCCTTCATTACCCCACCGTCCCCCAATTCCCCCCTCTAGCTCCGGGGAAGTTTGGTTTTAAAAATGAAAAGGTTTCCCGTATATTTAAAGATAAACAATTTATACCTGTAAAACTGATTATTAAGGTTTCTGTTTTTAATTTAAAAATAATTTAAAAAAGCGTAATTTAAAAATAATAAAAATAATTAAAAATAATTAAAAATTTTTAATAATTTAATAATAATAATAATAAAAACTACAAACAACAAAAAACAACCCAAAATTTGTTAAAACTTGATAAAAAATTTTTAAAGGGGGGGGGACTGGGAAAAACCCGTGGGAAAGGGCCCCGGTCAGATGGGCCAAAACCCTTTAATGGTGGGTCAAACATCTGACCCAAGGGCCGCGTTTAGGGAAAAATGTCCTGTTTTTCCCGACTTACCCAAACCCAACCGAAAAATGGGCAGGGAAAGGTTTTCTTAAAAAGGGCCTAATGGGGATCGAACCACGGGTTCAGTTAGCTAAGTACGGGGAACAAACCCAGCTACTGAAAAATTTTAAAATCGAAAGATTTATCGACGTTAATTTTCTTTTGTTTTAATTGGTTATAGTTATTAATAATTTTTAAACTTAAATTGCGGGAAATACTTCTAATAACAGGGAAATTTTGGGCTGTAAAAAGTTGTATCATGTACTTGGAGAAAAAAAAGATTATTAATATTAGCCCGTTTGTTAAAATCCCCCAAGGGCCCCCGGGGCTTGTTGGGTTTTAATCAAAGGCTAGTGTGCTCTTAAAATTTAAAAGGGGGTGGGGGGAAATTTAACTACCCACACAGGGATGGGAAAGGGGGTGTCAGCAAAGATATTAAGCTGTATTATGTCAGTGTGTTTGATAACGATTAGTAAATCACGTTTGGTAATGACTGCAAGTAAACCACGTTGCGTGGTTTGGTTGCAATCTTTGTTATTACGATTTCATGAATCTTGTAGTTAATATCTGAACAACTACACTGTTGTCCTCAGCGTGTTTATATAAAAATCCAACTTTCTTCCAAAGTCAGTTTCAGATGCAGCCTTAATGACCCTCGTGTGGATGATGGTCTTTAAACTCCAATAACCAACCATTCTACTGTGTGGAGACACTACTTTATATACAGTGTGAGAAATCCACCATCACATCTACTGATGAAATATTAATATTTTTACAAGGTAGACCAGTTAGCCAGGGAAAGGTGTCGGCCACATGACCAAAAATTCCACTGCGTGGGTTATAACATGACCAAAATTTCTACATAAGCTTTTATTTGCCTGTAAAAAATATTGATAATTATAGTCAATAACATGAAAACACACCGCAAACAGGAGAATCTTATCTGAACTATCTTATTTGTCTATCTGTGAGTGTGAGTGTGAGTTTTATGTATTTTGTTTTTGGTGTGTGGGAGATAGCACATGTAGTTTCAGTAGTGTACATAAGTCACTGATCTACCAGTGTAGGAAGAGCACATCAGTTCTCTCTCCAGCCAAGATGACCTTACACTGACTGTTGTGGCTATACATACATGTACCAGAGTTACTAGTGCTTGAATTGGACCAGTGTGTTGGAAGGATCAAAGAACACACACCTGAGGAGCTGGACCAGTGGTGTTTTATTCACCAGGAAACAACAGTGACTCCTGACACGAATTATAACCTCAAGATGACCCGTCGCTGGTTCAGCATCGCTGACCTGCCCACAAAGAACACTACATGGTAGTTTATCCCAAAGATAATCAGTGTTTCTGCTGGAGATCGCAGAGGATGCTGATGCCGGAGGTCCTGCAGTGTAAAGCGCTAAGTGATGCATTCTCAAAACTTTATCACGAATCGTGAAAAAAAAAATTAAAATATTTTAGCTGAGTTTACCCTGCTTCTCTACTACCAGATACAATGTCAGGCTTAATATTCCATAAATATTTAAAAAAAAATATATACTAAAAATGTAAAAAATATAAATGTAGGTGGAAACAGAAGACTTGGAATATATTTGTTTCTCTCCGAAAATATTTAAAATATATTGATATTAGTGTTGTTTTCCCTTAACTGGTAAGATATTTTTGAAATCTCAATGAATCATTAAAATTTTTTACAAGTTACACGACTTTACAGGCAAAGAAAAGGAGACTTTTATAAAATTTTAAACCCCGGGGGGTTTTAGTAACCGGGAAAAAAACCCATTACTTTTGCTTGTAACCCCCTTTAAATGTGGCTTGTAACCCGTTAATGTGGCTTGAACCCAGGTACCTATTAATGCTTATGAGCAGGGCAGGGTTCATGAATGTTACATTAAGCCCCCTGGGTACCCCCCCTTACTGAATTTGGGTCGCAGTTCCCATGATACCAGACGGGCACACATAGAAAAATCGTTCAAGTGAGTCACTCGCACAGATACCATACTTAACAGTAATAAGCTTAATTAATGACCATTGAGTAAATATTCGCTCTAACTTATAAACAATTATGAAATGCTGTAACCCAAAAGAATGGAAAATGAAGCCAGTAACTTGGTAGACGCAGGACATTATATTACTAGTAGGCTTCGAGTGGTGTTCCTCTATATTTTGTAATTCTAAGAACAAAGGCAGGAAGATAATTATATTTTTGCTACGGAGGTTCCCTTAACCTGTCAAGGAAACAAAAATTTACATGGTTACATGTGTATATAACAGAAACGAAGAGTCGACTCTTACACGACCATGGAAGACAAGGCGAGTATCCCACACTGTACGTTAGGTTAAGATTGGTCAGGAAACAGGACAAGTGTTTTCTGACGCTGGTCTTAGACATATAATGACCCACCACTAGAGTTTTGGGTCATCTGACCGACGCCTTCCACTGGCTTACCCCTCCACCACCAGCAAAAGTTAAAATATATATGTAACATTGTGTATGCTGGCAAACATCTCAGGCAGGTGACATTATGACAGTCAGCAGATATTTGCACCATGGACTTGTTACAAAGAATTATTTAGTATTAAAACCCCTGCCAGGACTTGATCCTGTTGAATATTATAAAAAGCGATTCATATTATATTGCCAGACGACAATTTAAATTAGTCTAAATAACGCAGATCGAAAAATTTGTTGATAACCATTTGGTGGAAACCCAGCGACTAATTTATTAAGATAACGTAAAACAATACACAAATAACCTGCACATAGCAGAATGAAATTGACGAACAACGTTTTAGTCCCCCCCTAATGGTCCAAGTCGAACAGAAACGCGGTTATAAGTTCCATTTTCCTATGACTTAGTATGCAGTTCTGTGCGTATACTATCCACCATGAAACCTGGTCACAAACAAGGCCGAGGGGGCGTTGACCCCTCGAAATCCTCTCTAGGTATGTGCTGGTTATTTACGTTATGAGTATTAAGTCTACTATTACTTACCACTATCACTACTTGTTCTTCCTCTCGTGGTCCCGTCCCTCTCCCTCTCTCGCCTATATATACTGGCTCCCACATTCTTTTGTGTTATCAGCAAAAATGTTGATAATCATAACCATAATTTTTAAAGTGGTGGAGTGGTAAGCCAGTGGAAGGCCTCGGTCAGATGACTAAAAGCTCCAGATGTGCGTCGTCATATGACTAAGACTTGAGTCAGGAAACACTCGTCCTGTTTCTTGACAAACCTAACCTAACCTGACCTAACCTGACCTAACCTGACCTAACCTAACCTAACCTAACCTAACCTAACCTAACCTAACCTAACCTAACCTGACCTAACCTGACCTAACCTAACCTAACCTAACCTAACCTAACCTAACCTAACCTAACCTGACCTAACCTAACCTAACCTAACCTAACCTAACCTAACCTAACCTAACCTGACCTAACCTAACCTAAGCTAACATAACCTAACCTAACCTAACCTAACCTAACCTGACCTAATCAACCCTAACATAATAAAACCAACCCTAACCTAGTCTAACAATTATAATTCAGAACTTTCTTCTCATGTCCCACAAAAAATACACCCGCCATCTTTCAATTTCCAAACGTTGCTGAGATTATTGTTATCAAAGTAGTGATAACACTGCCTGATAAGAATCGCGATGGATCTTACGTAATATGGGATGACAACAGATGAACTTAGACCTGGTTATTAGGTTATTAGTCAGTTTAATTAAGATCCCGGTGCATTCTAATTATTGCTCACGAATTATTATTATTATTATTATTATTATTATTATTATTATTATTATTATTATAATTATTATTACTTTTATTAATATTAAATATAATTATCATTTATTGTTATTATTACTATTATTATTATCTCTATTATTATTATTATTTACATGGAAACGCTAAATCCGTAGGGGCACACAGATCCTGAGGATAGGAGGTAGTCAGGTTTAATTCAGGGAAGGATCGACACCATGCCCAGCCCTTCTAGGGTAGGGTAGGTGCCTGAGCCTGAGCCTTTAGCTCATAAGACTGTCATTCCCATTTGCTCCCTTGTGGCGGGGATGGCAGACCAGAGAGGCCTAGCTTGTGGCTAGGCCTAGGGACAGTTGGTCCCAAAGATGAGGAGGTACTTGTGCCTCCTCCCATGGGAGACTTAGGTCTCAGACACTCCCTAAAGAGGGAGCCAAGGCCGGGCCACCACTTGGACAAGGCCCGGGCCGGGAGAATACCCGCGAAACTTTAATAATAATAATAAATTCAGGGAAGGGGATGGTACCTCCAGTTCCTCGGATCAAGAGTCCTTCATCTCTGTCGGAACAGTAGTATAAGATAGTGTTTTGGTGTGTCTAATCACCTGTAACTACCTCTAACCACGTCTAACTACCTTATATTACCTCTAATCACCACTTCTAACTACCTTTTATTACTTCTGATCATCTAACTACCTTAAATTACCTTTAATCACCTGTAACTACCTCTAACCACGTCTAACTACCTTAAATTACATCTAATCACCACGTCTAACTACCTTTTATTACTTCTGATCATCTAACTACCTTAAATTACCTTTAATCACCTGTAACTACCTCTAACCACGTCTAACTACCTTAAATTACCTTTAATCACCTGTAACTACCTCTAACCACGTCTAAACTACCTTAAATTACCTTTAATCACCTGTAACTACCTCTAACCACGTCTAACTACCTTAAATTACCTCTAATCACCTGTAACTACCTCTAACCACGTCTAACTACCTTAAATTACCTCTAATCACCTGTAACTACCTCTAACCACGTCTAACTACCTTAAATTACCTCTAATCACCTGTAACTACCTCTAACCACGTCTAACTACCTTAAATTACCTCTAATCACCTGTAACTACCTCTAACCACGTCTAACTACCTTAAATTACCTCTAATCACCACGTCTAACTACCTTTTATTACATCTGTTCATCCTTACTACATTTAACTATCTTCATTCACTTCTAATCACCTGTTAATACTCTCTAAATATCTCTAACTGCTTTTACTCACTTCTAACTACCTTTTAATCACTTCTAATCACCTGTAGCTACCTCTAATCACCTCTAACTACCTTAAATAACCTCTAACTGCCTTTAGCTGCTTCTAATCACCTCTATCTTTTAATCACTTCTAATCGCCAGTAACTATCTCTAATCACCTCTAACTGCTTCTAATTATCGCTAATTAACCTGTACTTTGCAGAACGAGGCGATTCCAAGGCCACCGGTGAGCACCATCACAGCAGCTGTTGACCTTAAGGTTAGTGGGGGGATGACATTTGACCTTTGCTGCTTGGCGGACGGTGGGTCGAGCCTGCAGGGCTCATTTCCCCGCTGAAACGACGGGGTTTAGCGCCTCGCGTGACTGCTAATGACATTGATGGCCCCTGATTGATTACTTAACAGATAGCAGGTGGTTGAGGTCAAATATCGTACTGTCTTAGCTGAGGGATACCACCCTGGACAGTCTTACCTGAGGGATACTGTTACAAAAAAAGCGATTTCTACTAATGATAGAGACCTCCTGTGAATACTAGAAAGGACTGCCCTTCTAGCATCCAGCCTGTTACTGGGTTCTTGTAACAAGTAGTCAGTATCCTGGTCCAATTATCCATTAGAATTTAGTAAGATTCAACAGTGCTTCAGGATTACAACTGGTAGGCTACTAACTAAAGAAATTAAAATTTAATAAGCTTATTAATAACAACAAAGTTGTCTAGGCGTAAAATATCAAAGGAAATTAAAGTAATCAATTGAATATAATATAGGACATAAGTTGCTACACTTCTCTGGTGTACAGTAGTATTGTGCTGAAGGTTCATATCACGTCTTTATGACTTTTAAGTACCGTCTGGTACATTGTTAGCATTTAATAACGTAATACAAATATATACAAGTAACACAACATTGACTTTGTAAATGGTCCAAGTCGGAGCGAAACGTCGTCGTAAGCTTCTCTCTTTTATGTGCGGGTTATTTGTGTATCGTTCCAGTCAGGGTATTGTGCCTTTTTATTATTTATGTACAAGTAAGTTTGTGTGTATGTGCTCTAAGTAGTTCGCTATGTCTCAAGACTCGACTAGACTAAACCAGTGACTGACTAAAAGTCCTCACATAAACTAACTTCTTGTCCAACCTGGCAATCAGAACAGCTTGCTTGAACAATAAAATGACTGTTAAGCCGAACAGCAATATAACAAGTAACAGCGACACAGAATCAGGAACAAGGAGATAATATAACGACACTAAGTAGGGACCATCTGCAGATCCTTCACAAAAGTCACAAAACTCCCATACTACTGAATCTAAGTTCAGCATTAGAAAATCCCCGACTGTGATAATACACAGATACCAATACAAATTAGGTCAGAAGCTACAGCTCAGGACCTGAGTTTCTCAGAGTGTCTATGCGACACACAACCTCAGTACAACGTCGAAAATCGCTAAGTCTAGACTATGTTCTGTGAACAGAGTTACACAGAACCAACAACAAGAAAACGATGGAGACGATCTTCCAACAAGGGCTAGCAATGGAGAGCCTGAGAGACCGTTTTGTTAGAAGCAACGTCAAACAGACAAGAGCGAGCACAGGCCAGGCAGACTCTCACTCCTGGTGAGGTGTGATCACCCACCCTGATCACGTGACTCTCCATGGACTGCTGCTGCCCAGCAACTACAGAGAAGCCGGCAGCGAAACGAGAGGAGCAATAATACAGTAGTTTGACAATGCTGTCAGCTACTTAACACTCGAACTATGAGCACTGAATAATATATAAATGGTACTTCCTACCTAATAATATAACTAAGTCAAATAATAATATAAAGCAATATATTTACGATTTAGCTAATATCGCAAATATAAGCAATATAAAATTATAAGAACAGGTAATATACATTATACACATTGTGACCCATTCAGGGGTCGCAATAGATACCACTCTGGATAGTCTTTCCTGAGGGATACCACCCTGGATAATCTTTTCTGAGGGATACCACCCTGGATAGTCTTTCCTGAAGGGATACCACCCTGGATAGTCTTTTCTGAGGGATACCACCCTGGATAGTCTTTTCTCAGGAATATCACCCTGGATAGTCTACCCTGAGGATACCACCCTGGATAGTCATTCCTGAGGGATACCACTCTGGATAGTCTTTCCTGAGGGATACCACCCTGCATAGTCATTCCTGAGGGAAGTCACCCTAGATAGCTATTCCTGAAGGATATCACCCTGGATAGTCTTAGCAGAGGGATACCGACCTTGTTTATTTATCAGTACAGACGTGTTTTATCAAGGTCAGTGTGATAGGGAATACACATCACTAATAATAATATTAATAATATCAATAATAATTATAGTATGTACTGTTATTATTATTATTATTATTATTATTATTATTATTATTATTATTATTATTATTATTATTATTATTATTATTATTATTATTATTATTATTATTATTATTATTGTTGTTGATGTTGTTGTTGTTGTTGTATTCACGGGAAAGTCATTCATGGCCTTGGGAATGGATAATCAGGTTTGATGCTAGGAAATCCTTGGATCAAGAGCCTTGACAAGGCGTCTCCTGCAAGAGAGGGACACTACTCTATTTTCACCACCTGGTGTTATTGTTTTTTTCTCCTTTCTTGTGCCATTTCGTTGTGTCTGCGTCTCTTGTCTCTGCTGCTATCTTTGTGTGTGTGTACTCACCTATTTGTGGTTGCAGGGGTCGATTCACAGCTCCTGGTACCGCCCCTTCGCTGGTCTCTCCCTGCTCCAAGAGCTTTATCGTATGTGTGTGTGTGTGTGTGTGTGTGTGTGTGTGTGTGTGTGTGTGTGTGTGTGTGTGTACTCACCTATTTGTTGTCAACTATTTGTGGTTGCAGGGGTCGAGTCATAGCACCTGGCCCCGCCTCTTCGCTGATTGCTATTAGGTCCTCTCTCTCCCTGCCCCATGAGCTCTATCATACCTCGCCTTAAAACTATGTATGGTTCCCGCCTCCACTACGTCACTTTCTAGGCTATTCCACGGCCTGACAACTCTATGACTGAAGAAATACTTCCTAACATCCCTTTGATTCATCTGAGTCTTCAACTTCCAATTGTGACCTCTTGTTTCTGTGTCCCATCTCTGGAACATCCTGTCTTTGTCCACCTTGTCTATTCCGCGCAGTATTTTATATGTTGTTATCATGTCTCCCCTAACCCTCCTGTCCTCCAGTGTCGTCAGGCCGATTTCCCTTAACCTTTCTTCATAGGACATTTCCCCTAGCTCTGGAACTAACCTTGTCGCAAACCTTTGCACTTTCTCTAATTTCTTGACGTGCTTGATCAAGAGCGGGTTCCAAACAGGTGCTGCATACTCCAGTATGGGCCTGACGTACACGGTGTACAGTGTCTTGAAAGATTCCTTACTAAGGTATTGGAACACTAATCTCAGGTTTGCCAGGCGCCCATATGCTGCAGCAGTTATCTGGTTGATGTGTGCTTCCGGAGACATGCTCGGTGTTATACTCACCTCAAGATCTTTCTCCTTGAGCGAGGTTTGCAGTCTTTGGCCACCTTACCTATACTCCGTCTGCAGTCTTCTGTGCCCTTCCCCTATCTTCATGACTTTGCATTTGGCGGGGTTAAATTCGAGAAGCCAGTTGCTGGACCAGGTGTCCAGTCTGTCCAGGTCTCTTTGAAGTCCTGCCTGATCCTCATCTGATTTAACTCTCCTCATTAACTTCACATCGTCTGAGTCTAACCCTTCCATCATGTCGTTCACATATACCAAAAATAGCACTGGTTCTAGGACCGACCCCTGTGGGACCCCGCTCGCCGCAGGTGCCCACTGTGATACCTCATTACGTACCATGACTAGTTGTTCCATCCTTGTTAGGTATTCTCTGATCCATTGCAGTGCCCTTGCCGTTATATACGCCTGATCCTCTAGCTTCTGCACTAATCTCTTGTGAGGAACTGTGTCAAAGGCCTTCTTGCAGTCCAAGAAGATGCAATCAACCCGCCCCTCTCTCTCGTGTCTTACTTCTGTTACTTTGTTATAAAACTCCAGAAGGTTTGTGACACAGGATTTGCCTTTCATGAATCCGTGCTGGTTGGCGTTTATACACTTGTTCTGTTCCAGGTGCTCCACCACTCTCCTCCTGATAATCTTCTCCATAACTTTGCATACTATACACGTCAGTAACACAGGTCTATAGTTTAGCTCCTCTTTTCTGCCTCCTTTTTTAAAAATGGGAACTACATTTGCCGTCTTCCATACCTCGGGTAGTTGCCCAGTTTCCAGGGATGTGTTGAAGATTGTGGTATGTGGCACATAGTGTGTGTGTGTGTGTGTGTGTGTGTGTGTGTTTGTGTGTGTGTGTGTGTGTGTGTGTGTGTGTGTGTGTGTGTGTGTGTGTGTGTGTGTGTGTGTGTGTGTGTACTCACCTATTTATACTCACCTAATTGTAGTTGCAGGGGTCGAGACTCAGCTCCTGTCCCCTCCTCTTCACTGAATGTTACTAGGACCTTCACTGTGTGTGTGTGTGTGTGTGTGTGTGTGTGTTACACACCCCTCTCTATACACTGAGAAATACATACATCGTTATGTATATATAAGCAGCAAGACACACATCTCAGCTCATATATACTGAGATATATACCTCCCTCTGTATATGCAACTGAAACACCCGTACGTACTAATGTCCTGAAATTTACATCAACCAAAAAATGCGTGTAAATATCCCCCCAGGAACAAGAACAATGGTTTGTACCGGTCCATCACACTCAGATCACGGACCGGTCCAGCGCCCCAGCCTCTGGTACACACAACCACGTCGCCAGCCGCTCCAGCCGCTCAGCCGCTCCAGCCGCTCCAACAGCGACGCTCAAGCAACGGACGCTGTCCCAAAACTTATTTCGTAAGTTTTCCTGATTGTCTTTCCCTCCCCAGATGGCCTTATGGCCTCCAAGGGCCATTGACGGACCTATATTTTTGGGTCCCTGAAGACTGAATTGTTATGGGGTCACCTAATTTCGGGTCCCTGAAGACTGAATTGTCATGGGGTCACCTAATTTCTGGATCCCTGAAGAGTGAATTGTTATTAGGTCACCTAATTTCTGGGTCCCTGAAGACTGAATTGTTATTAGGTCACCTAATTTCTGGGTCCCTGAAGAGTGAATTGTCATTAGGTCACCTAATTTCTGGGTCCCTGAAGACTGAATTGTTATGGGGTCACCTAATTTCTGGGTCCCTGAAGACTGAAATGTTATTAGGTCACTTAATTTCTGGGTCCCTGAAGAATGAATTGTTATTAGGTCACCTAATTTCTGGGTCCCTGAAGAGTGAATTGTTAATTACGTCACCTAATTTCTGGGTCCCTGAAGACTGAATAGTTATGGGGTCACCTAATTTTTAGTTTAACTCTTATTTTGTATTGAATTTCACTGTATTATTATTGAAAAACCTTTGTTATACAGTAGACGTCGAATTTTCAAAGAATGAGGACTGAAGTTGTTTCTGGGCCCCATTCAGGATTAGTGGCGCTGAAGTTTCAACTTCATCAGTCTCATAGTAGATCCCCCCCTGTCTGGCCCCTGTCTGGCCCCTGTCTGGCCCCTGTCTGGCCCCTGTCTGGCCCCTGTCTGGCCCCTGTCTGGCCCCTGCGGAGTAAACAATTTAAAAAAAAAATGTAAGGAATGCGAAGTTAACAATTAAAAAAAAAAAATGTAAGGAATGCAAGGGGTAACTTAACAAATTTTAAAAATGTAAGGATTGCAAGGGGTAACTTAACAAATTTTAAAAATGTAAGGATTGCAAGGGGTAACTTAACAAATTTTAAAAATGTAAGGAATGCAAGGGGAAACTTAACAAATTTTAAAAATGTAAGGAATGCAAGGGGTAACTTAACAAATTTTAAAAATGTAAGGAATGCAAGGGGTAACTTAACAAATTTTAAAAATGTAAGGAATGCAAGGGGTAACTTAACAAATTTTAAAAATGTAAGGAATGCAAGGGGTAACTTAACAATTTTAAAAATGTAAGGAATACGAGGGGTAACTTAACAAATTTTAAAAATGTAAGGAATGCAAGGGGTAACTTTACAAATTTTAAAAATGTAAGGAATACGAGGGGAAACTTAACAATTTTTAAAAATGCAAGGAATACGAGGGGCAACTTAACAAATTTTAAAAATGTAAGGAATACGAGGGGTAACTTAACAAATTTTAAAAATGTAACGAATATAAGGGGTAACTTAACAATTTTAAAAATGTAAGGAATACGAGGGGTAACTTAACAAATTTTAAAAATGTAAGGAATGTAAGGGGTAACTTAACAAATTTTAAAAATGTAAGGAATGCAAGGGGTAACTTAACAAAGTTTAAAAATGTAAGGAATGCAAGGGGTAACTTAACAAATTTTAAAAATGTAAGGAATGCAAGGGGTAACTTAACAAATTTTAAAAATGTAAGGAATGCGAGGGGTAACTTAACAAATTTTAAAAATGTAAGGAATGCAAGGGGTAACTTAACAAACTTTAAAAATGTAAGGAATGCAAGGGGTAACTTAACAAATTTTAAAAATGTAAGGAATGCAAGGGGTAACTTAACAAATTTTAAAAATGTAAGGAATACGAGGGGTAACTTAACAATTTTTAAAAATGTAAGGAATACGAGGGGCAACTTAACAAATTTTAAAAATGTAAGAAATGCAAGGGGGGTAACTTAACAATTTTAAAAAAAGTAAGGAATACGAGGGGTAACTTAACAATTTTAAAAATGTAAGGAATACGAGGGGTAACTTAACAAATTTTAAAAATGTAAGGAATGCAAGGGGTAACTTAACAATTTTAAAAATGTAAGGAATACGAGGGGTAACTTAACAATTTTTAAAAATGTAAGGAATACGAGGGGTAACTTAACAAATTTTAAAAATGTAAGGAATACGAGGGGTAACTTAACAATTTTTAAAAATGTAAGGAATACGAGGGGCAACTTAACAAATTTTAAAAATGTAAGGAATACGAGGGGTAACTTAACAAATTTTAAAAATGTAATGAATGCATGGGGTAACTTAACAATTTTAAAAATGTAAGGAATACGAGGGGTAACTTAACAAATTTTAAAAATGTAAGGAATGCAAGGGGTAACTTAACAATTTTAAAAATGTATGGAATACGAGGGGTAACGTAACAAATTTTAAAAATGTAAGGAATACGAGGGGTAACTTAACAAATTTTAAAAATGTAAGGAATACGAGGGGTAACGTAACAAATTTTAAAAATGTAAGGAATACGAGGGGTAACTTAACAAATTTTAAAAATGTAAGGAATACGAGGGGTAACTTAACAATTTTAAAAATGTAAGGAATGCAAGGGGTTACTTAACAATTTTAAAAATGTAAGTAATGTGAGGGGTAACTTAAAATTTAAAAAAATATATATATAAAGACTGTGAGGGGTAACTTGAGATTTCATAGATCAGGGATTTCAACGACTTTTTTCGAGAAAACCGCCTTATGTACGTTGATTTTTAAAATATCTCCTGGGGGTCTTGTGCGTTATCTGTCAAGTATTTAAATTTTACACCAACGTATTTATAGATAATGTCCTGATATCTTGTCTCGTTTGTAGGTTAAGAGATGTTATCTTGTCTCAACTCATTTACAGGTTAAGAGATGTTATCTTGTCTCAACTCATTTACAGGTTAAGAGATGTTATCTTGTCTCAACTCATTTACAGGTTAAGAGATGTTATCTTGTCTCAGCTCATTTACAGGTTAAGAGATGTTATCTTGTCTCAACTCATTTACAGGTTAAGAGATGTTATCTTGTCTCAACTCATTTACAGGTTAAGAGATGTTATCTTGTCTCAACTCATTTACAGGTTAAGAGATGCTATCTTGTCTCAACTCATTTACAGGTTAAGAGATGTTATCTTGTCTCAACTCATTTACAGGTTAAGAGATGTAATCTTGTCTCAACTCATTTACAGGTTAAGAGATGTTATCTTGTCTCAACTCATTTACAGGTTAAGAGATGTTATCTTGTCTCAACTCATTTACAGGTTAAGAGATGTTATCTTGTCTCAACTCATTTACAGGTTAAGAGATGTTATCTTGTCTCAACTCATTTACAGGTTAAGAGATGTTATCTTGTCTCAACTCATTTGCAGGTTAAGAGATGTTATCTTGTCTCAACTCATTTACAGGTTAAGAGATGTTATCTTGTCTCAACTCATTTACAGGTTAAGAGATGTTATCTTGTCTCAACTCATTTACAGGTTAAGAGATGTTATCTTGTTTCAACTCATTTACAGGTTAAGAGATGTTATCTTGTCTCAACTTATTTACAGGTTAAGAGATGTTATCTTGTCTCAACTCATTTACAGGTTAAGAGATGTTATCTTGTTTCAACTCATTTACAGGTTAAGAGATGTTATCTTGTCTCAACTCATTTACAGGTTAAGAGATGTTATCTTGTCTCAACTCATTTACAGGTTAAGAGATGTTATCTTGTCTCAACTCATTTACAGGTTAAGAGATGTTTTCCTTCTTCACCTCATGGCAGGCCAAGAGCTGCAAACTTACCTCATCTCATTTAACTATTCATGCCACACTAGCAACACCACCCTCACCCCAGGATGCCACCCGTAACAGGTGGCATCCTGGGTACTTATTTTACTCCAAGGAGACGTCGATCTGATATGTGTTGCTTCTCTTGCTTAGTGACGTGAGGTAACCTTCAGTTGTCAAGTGATTGCTTGAAAACTGAACGTGTTATTATCTGATTAAAGATTAATGATAGGCAATATTTCTTAGACGAACAAAACACACCCACACACACACACACACACACACACACACACACAGCACACACACACACACACACACACACACACACACACACACACACTACACACACACACACACACACACATATATATATATATATATTATATATATATATATATATATATATATATATATATATATATATTTATATATGCAAAACAACCACTCTGAAAGAATAGAGAAATTCCAAGCGCTTTCGTGACTACTCACATTATAATGTGAGTAGTCACGAAAGCGCTTGGAATTTCTCTATTCTTCAGAGTGGTTGTTTTGCATATTCTGAAAATCACCTGTTTACTGTGATCTTATTGCATATATATAATATATATATATATATATATATATATATAATATATATATATATATTATATATATATATATATATATATATATATATATATATATATATATATATTAATATATATATATATATATATATTATTGAGCGAAACGTTGAGTTGTCTTGTAGTATTGTCGGCAGTGCATCATTTCGATAAAATATTTAAATCTCATACATCAACCAACTAACCACTCAAATTGCAGGAATTGTGAGACGATGATTCACGTGTTGAAAGGTAACATTGGACCAGGGCTCCTGGCCCTACCTGAAGCCTTCATGAACGCTGGTCTCTGGGTTGGCTTCGCTGGCATCCCCATCATGGGTCTGATTTGCATCAACTGCATGCATATATTGGTGAGTTCTGAGACACCCTCAGGCAATGATTATCATGCATCTTATACCCTATCATGTGGGCGGTAGCTACCCCTTACCCTTCATGTGGGTGATAGCCACCCCGTACTTATCATGTGGGCCGTAGGCTCAAAATGGGTCCTGGGACGGAACCCTAATTTTGTCAGCTAAACAATTGGGTTCATGCGACTAGAGCCGTTAAGGCCCTTACAGTCAGCAGTCAAATATCTTTCCCTAAACCCAGGTCCGGTTAAATGGCTTTAGGGGCTGTAGTCCAGGGACCTCCGCCAACTGGAGGGCTTCCGCCAGCTGGAGGGCCTCCACCAACATGAGGGCCTCCACCAACTGGAGGGCCTCCACCAGCTGGAGGGCCTCTGCCAGCTTTAGGACCTCCGCCAACTGGAGGGCCTCCACCAGCTGGAGGGCCTCTACCAGCTATGGAGAAGGAGCTTAGACATGGGTGAAATTCCACAGTTACTTAAAACAATGGATATAGCCCCACTCCATAAAGGTGACAGCAAAACCTTAGTTAAGAACTATAAACCAATAGCTCTAACGTCCCACATCAAAAAATCTTTGAAAGAGTGCCAAAAATCATGATTGCCAACCACCTGGATTCCCACAAACCGCACAATCCAGGGCAACATGGGTTCAGGGCAGGTCGCTCCTGCCTCTCACAACTACTGGATCACTATGATATGGCCTTGGATGCACTGGAAGAAAAACAGAATGCAGATGTAACATACACAGACTTTGCAAAAGTCTTTAACCAGTGCGAGCATGGTGTAATAGCGCACAAAATACGTGCTAAAGGAATAACTGGCAAAGTGGGGAGATGGATCTTCAACTTCCTAACCAATCGAATACAAAGAGCTGTGGTCAACAGAGTTAAATCGGAGGCTGCCATAGTGAAGAGTTCTATTCCACAAGGCACAGTACTCGCCCCCATCCTGTTCCTCATCTTCATATCAGACATAGACAGATGTAATCCACAGCACCGTATCATCTTTTGCAGACGATACTAGGATCTGCATGAGACTGTCATCTATTGAGGACACGGCAAAGCTCCAAGAAGATATAAACCAAGTTTTCCAGTGGGCAACGGAAAACAATATGATGTTCAATGAGGACAAATTCCAAACTACTCCATTATGGAAAACTGGAGGGGATAAAAACTAGAACAGAGTATACTACAAACTCGGGCCATACAATAGAGAGGAAAAATAATGAAAGAGACCTGGGATTAGTAATGTCCAAGGATCTCACTTTCAAGGATCACAACAGTGCCACGATCACAAGTGCAAAGAAAATGATAGGATGGATAATGAGAATGTTCAAAACATGAGATGCCAAGCCCATGATGATCCTTTTCAAATCACTTGTTCTCTCTAGGCTGGAATACTGCTGTACATTAACATCTCCTTTCAAAGTAGGTGAAATTGCAGATCTAGAGAGTGTACAGAGATCCTTTACTGCACGTATAAGTTCTATCAAGAACCTGAACTACTGGGAACGCTTGGAAGCACTTGACTCGTACTCGTTGGAGCGCAGGCGATAGAGATATATCATAATCTACACTTGGAAAATCCTAGAGGGATTAGTCCCGAATCTGCGCACAGAAATCACTCCCTACAAAAGTAAAAGACTGGAAAGGCGATGCAAATACCTTCAATTAAAAGTAGGGGCGCCATTGGTACACTAAGAGAAAACACCATAAGTGTCCGGGGCCCAAGGCTGTTCAACAGCCTCCCACCAAGCATAAGGGGCATTACCAATAGACACCTGGCTGCCTTCAAGAGAGAGCTGGACAGATACCTAAAGTCAGTGCCAGATCAGCCGGGCTGTGGTTCGTACGTTGGACTACGTGCGGCCAACAGTAACAGCCTGGTTGATCAGGCCCTGATCCACCGGGAGGCCTGGTCGTGGACCGGGCCGCTGGGGCGTTGATCCCCGGAATAAATTCCAGGTAGACAGCTGGAGGACCTCCGCCCCTGTAGCCCAGGGATCTCACAGTACCTGTAGCCCAGGGACCTCTCAGTACCTGTAGCCCAGGGACCTCACAGTACCTGTAGCCCAGGGACCTCACAGTACCTGTAGCCCAGGGACCTCACAGTACCTGTAGCCTAGGGACCTCACAGTACCTGTAGCCCAGGGACCTCACAGTACCTGTAGCCCAGGGACCTCACAGTACCTGTAGCCCAGTGACCTCACAGTACCTGTAGCTAAGGGGCCTCACAGTACCTGTAGCACAGGGGCCTCACATTACCTGTAGTTCACGGGCCTCACAGTACCTGTAGCTCAGGGGCCTCACAGTACCTGTAACACAGGGGCCTCACAGTACCTGTAGCCCAGGGACCCCACACTATCTGTAGCCCAGAGACCTCACAGTATCTGTAGCCCAGGGGCCTCACAGTACCTGTAGCTCAGGGGCCTCACAGTACCTGTAACTCAGGGGCCTCACAGTGCCTGTAGCTCAGGGTACTCACAGTACCTGTAGCTCAGGGTACTCACAATACCTGTATCCCAGGGGCCTCACAGTACCTGTAGCTCAGGGTACTCACAGTACCTGTAGCCCAGGGGCTTCATAGTACCTGTAGCCCAGGTGCCTCACAGTACCTGTAGCCCAGGGGCTTCATAGTACCTGTAGCCCAGGTGCCTCACAGTACCTGTAGCCCAGGGGCTTCATAGTACCTGTAGCCCAGGGGCCTCATTGTATCTGTAGCCCAGGGGCCTCACAGTACCTGTAGCCCAGGGGCTTCATAGTACCTGTAGCCCAGGGGCCTCATTGTATCTGTAGCCCAGGTGCCTCACAGTACCTGTAGCCCAGTGCCCCACAGTACCTGTAGTCCAGTGCCCCACAGTACCTGTAGCCCAGTGCCTCACAGTACCTGTAGCCCAGTGCCTCACAATACCTGTAGCCCAGTGCCCCACAGTACCTGTAGCCTAAGAGCTACAGGTTTCGTGGGACTTTCTTTAAGTCCAGTGACTTCTTAAACAATGATCTCGTCATTACCTGACAAGAGACTCTTGTCAGGAAACACCTGACATATTTGCTGACGAATACAACACCTCTTGTGACCCTCTGACTTCACACAGGTCAAGAGCTCCAAGGAGCTGTGCCGTCGAGTGCATGTCAGTGTGTTGAGTTACGAGGAGACGGCTGAGCTGGCTTTTAAGACGGGTCCTGGCCCGTTTAGAAGGTGGCATCGAGCTGTATACTACGTTATTAAGACCTTTCTCGTCATTACCCAGACTGGCTTCTGCTGCGTCTTCGTTGTGTTTATATCCCAGAACATCCAGGAGGTGAGAGAGAAACAGATTTTACTCATGTTTGTTAAAATTAATGTTATTTCAAGATATTGTTTTATTCATCACGAGACAGGACAGACACAAGTATTAATCATATAATTAATTTTTAGTCTGACCTGTTACGGTTGATAAATATCGTCAGGAAACAGGACAAGTGTTTCCTGACGCTGGTGTTAGAAGCCGTCATCGGAACTTTTCTTTAGTTAACCGGTCCACCCGTTTAAAAATTATGGTTACATTTTGGAATCAGCTGATATAATCAATATTTTATTGGAAATAATCTTAGTTTTTTTTATTTTTTAGACCAAACATTAGTAAAACCATAAGAATTTATCTTAGAACTGAACGAAATGTAGTTGCAAGTCTTGCAATAATGGCGGTGTGGGGGGGTAACAATAATGGCGGTGCGGGGGGGTAACAATAATGGCGGTGCGGGGGGTAACTCGTACAAACACCTGTAACTCTTTTCACTTATTGTTATGCTTCTGCAGGCGGTGAAGTGTATGATTCCCAGTGGCAGCAGCATTACCATCTACGGATATATGGGTATAATTCTAGTGCCTCTCCTCGTCATCGCTTACATTCCCAACATCAAGGTGGGCACACGCAGCCTTCAAGTTCAAGGCAAATGGCAGTTTTGTGGTTCCTTATAGAAAAAAATGACTTCTGACGCCGGTGTTATGGTCATATGACGACCTGTTCTGTTGATGATGTCTTTTATCTGCTTAAAAAGATTTCAGTTGGAAGTCAAAACATATATTCCCCTTCCCTTCTTAAATTTGCTTTAATTCATGTCATCAAAGGAGTTTCTTTAGTCTCACTTCTCAGTACATTACCAACTCTGTGTACCTCTATGAATTTATGTGTCTCGATGTTCATTCGGTCTCATTTGTTTAGGAAGCCAGGGCGTCCTCTCAGCGCGGGGATACTTTATATGGTGGTCCATCTCTGGCTCCTGAAGGAGTGTCGTATCTAGGAATAATGGGTATAGTGATAGTTTCTTTAAGCACTAGTGGAGGCAGCCCTCTGGGGAAAGCCCGGAATGAGGTATGGCTTCACTAATAAAAAATCACTGGATTGTGGATACTAGTCAGACAACCCGTAATGAGATAGGAGCTGAGAGAAATACACCTCTCACTGTGCTGTATACGCCCTCTGGCAAGACGTCTTTCCGTCCTTCCTTTGGTTTGACGGTCATCGACCTATAAAAGGTCATTAGGCCAGAAACGACATTTTTTTTTGTCCTGTGTATGAACTTATGAGATGTCCACTCTGGCATTCCCTGCTGAGCTTCTAATGACCTCTCTGCTAGATTCCTCATGCATAGTGGAATGGTTCCTGTAATCAGTAAAACTTACTAATTCCAACATAAAGTTCAGGGGTCCCAGTATTCATTAGGGTTTCCCTAACTAGCATTAATGTACACAGAAAGATTACTAGGTTCTGGCCTAATATTCAAGGGATGACTACTCAGCAATCCTGGCTGATAATTATCTTAGCGTGAGCTCTGGACCCGCTCATAACCCGTAGCTAAATTACCCTGTGTTCCCCAGTATAACGTCGACTGACTCTTACTAAGGCTGAAATCAGTATTATTCTCACGACGGGAGCCTAATGAAGAGACTAAAGTGTCCACACACTTGGGATGCTACTTCTTCCTGTCGTTGGTAGCCAGGTTAATATTTTGTTACTGTGTGAAGGCCAAGCTCAGCTCCTGGTACCTGTCACCACAGTATCTTAGAGTTGGGGCTTCCAGAGGAAGCCTAAATATGTCTTATTTCATTACCTAATATAACATATAATAATGTCTTAGGCTACATTATTAACTGTAATATTATTTACTAAAGATTCAAGCTTACCTGTATCATACATAAGGAATATGTCTATCAATTTGTACACCAGTCTCCCAGTTACCTAAATATATTGTTGGGTTTAAGGGTGCGATAAGTCTACCCAAAATATTTACCTACGAGCCAAACGGTGGGGATTTGTTGTCATATCCTGATACGAGGTCACAAAATGGGCAAGTCTCATTATACCTGCTGCCCTTGCCCACCTAGCAGTATGTTAGTGTTTTATAATAGTTAGTCTGCTGCTATGGATCACACACTGAAAAAGGACGGAAGAATCCTAATGGAAATAAGCCACACAGTTGAGGTTTGTGGGGTTATCATGGGTTTATAATTTTACGAGGTTCGTTGTCCAAGTACAGTTTTCTTCAGTATCTTTTTCTTCTTCTTTATAAAAGCATCATAGTCTCTCTCTCTCTCACTTATTCACTTATTCCCCTGGTACCCCAGTACCTGGCGCCGGTGTCAATGGTAGCTGGGGCAGCGCAGGTGATGGGTATCACCATCTGTCTGTACTACATGTTGAAGGACCTGCCACACATCCAGGAACACGTCCCAGCCTTCGCCGGCTGGTCTACTCTACCACTCTACTTCGGGTCAGCTATCTACGCCTTTGAGGGCATAGGACTGGTGAGTAAAAAAGTAGTCTGGAGTTTAAGAGGTCAAAATATTTCATCTACAGAGCCATGCTATCACCCACTCTCCTCAAAAAAAAAAAAAAGAAAAAAAAAAATACACCTGACTTATTGTGAATATAACGTAACCATAAGTAATTATTATAGATTTTTTCTTGTCAAAATTTACGACTGTAAACTCAAAAAAGAGATTATTATCGTAACTTGATCACAAAATACAAATATTGAAGCTCAGTTCCTAGACCCATTATATGTCTCTGTTATACTGTGACTACTGTCACATACCCATCCTGTGGGAGACAGTCACACCATACCCATCCTGTGGGAGACAGTCACACCATACCCATCTTGTGGGAGACAGTCACACCATACCCATCCTGTGGGAGACAGTCACACCATACCCATCCTGTGGGAGACAGTCACACCATACCCATCCTGTGGGAGACAGTCACACCATACCCATCCTGTGGGAGACAGTCACACCATACCATCGTGGGAGACAGTCACACCATACCCGTCCTGTGGGGAGACAGTCATACCATACCCATCCTGTGGGAGACAGTCACACCATACCATCCTGTGGGAGAAAGTCACACCATACCGTCCTGTGGGAGACAGTCACACCATACCCATCCTGTGGGAGACAGTCACACCATACCATCCTGTGGGAGACAGACACACCATACCCGTCCTGTGGGAGACAGTCACAACATACCCATCCTGTGGGAGACAGTCACAACTACCCATCCTGTGGGAGACAGTCACACCATACCCATCCTGTGGGAGACACTCACACCATACCCATCCTGTGGGAGACAGTCACACCATACCCATCCTGTGGGAGACAGTCACACCATACCCATCCTGTGGGAGACAGACACACCATACCCATCCTGTGGGAGACAGACACACCATACCCATCTGTGGGAGACAGTCACACCATACCCATCCTGTGGGAGACAGTCACACCATACCCATCCTGTGGGAGACAGTCACACCATACCCATCCTGTGGGAGACAGTCACACCATACCCATCCTGTGGGAGACAGTCACACCATACCCATCCTGTGGGAGACAGTCATACCATACCCATCCTGTGGGAGACAGACACACCATACCCCTCCTGTGGGAGACAGTCACACCATACCCATCCTGTGGGAGACAGACACACCATACCCATCCTGTGGGAGACAGTCACACCATACCCATCCTGTGGGAGACAGTCACACCATACCCGTCCTGTGGGAGACAGTCACACCATACCCATCCTGTGGGAGACAGTCACACCATACCCATCCTGTGGGAGACAGACACACCATACTCATCCTGTGGGAGACAGACACACCATACCCATCCTGTGGGAGACAGTCACACCATACCCATCCTGTGGGAGACAGACACACCATACCCATCCTGTGGGAGACAGTCACACCATACCCATCCTGTGGAGGACAGACACACCATACCCATCCTGTGGGAGACAGACACACCATACCCATCCTGTGGGAGACAGTCACACCATACCCATCCTGTGGGAGACAGTCACACCATACCCATCCTGTGGGAGACAGACACACCATACCCATCCTGTGGGAGACAGTCACACCATACCCATCCTGTGGGAGACAGTCATACCATACCCATCCTGTGGGAGACAGTCACACCATACCCATCTGTGGGAGACAGTCACACCATACCCATCCTGTGGGAGACAGTCACACCATACCCATCCTGTGGGAGACAGTCACACCATACCCATCCTGTGGGAGACAGACACACCATACCCATCCTGTGGGAGACAGTCACACCATACCCATCCTGTGGGAGACAGTCACACCATACCCATCCTGTGGGAGACAGTCACACCATACCCATCCTGTGGGAGACAGACACACATACCCATCCTGTGGGAGACAGTCACACCATACCCATCCTGTGGGGACAGTCACACCTATACCATCCTGTGGGAGACAGTCACACCATACCCATCCTGTGGGAGACAGTCACACCATTACCCGTCCTGTGGGAGACAGTCACACCATACCCATCCTGTGGGAGACAGTCACACCATACCCATCCTGTGGGAGACAGTCACACCATACCCGTCCTGTGGGAGACAGTCACACCATACCCATCCTGTGGGAGACAGTCACACCATACCCATCCTGTGGGAGACAGACACACCATACCCGTCCTGTGGGAGACAGTCACAACATACCCATCCTGTGGGAGACAGTCACAACATACCCATCCTGTGGGAGACAGTCACACCATACCCATCCTGTGGGAGACACTCACACCATACCCATCCTGTGGGAGACAGTCACACCATACCCATCCTGTGGGAGACAGTCACACCATACCCATCCTGTGGGAGACAGACACACCATACCCATCCTGTGGGAGACAGACACACCATACCCATCCTGTGGGAGACAGTCACCACATACCCATCCTGTGGGAGACAGTCACACCATACCCATCCTGTGGGAGACAGTCACACCATACCCATCCTGTGGGAGACAGTCACACCATACCCATCCTGTGGGAGACAGTCACACCATACCCATCCTGTGGGAGACAGTCATACCATACCCATCCTGTGGGAGACAGACACACCATACCCGTCCTGTGGGAGACAGTCACACCATACCCATCCTGTGGGAGACAGACACACCATACCCATCCTGTGGGAGACAGTCACACCATTACCCATCCTGTGGGAGACAGTCACACCATACCCGTCCTGTGGGAGACAGTCACACCATACCCATCCTGTGGGAGACAGTCACACCATACCCATCCTGTGGGAGACAGACACACCATACTCATCTGTGGGAGACAGACCACCATACCCATCCTGTGGGAGACAGACACACCATACCCATCCTGTGGGAGACAGACACACCATACCCATCCTGTGGGAGACAGTCACACCATACCCATCCTGTGGGAGACAGACACACCATACCCATCCTGTGGGAGACAGTCACACCATACCCATCCTGTGGGAGACAGTCACACCATACCCGTCCTGTGGGAGACAGTCACACCATACCCATCCTGTGGGAGACAGACACACCATACTCATCCTGTGGGAGACAGACACACCATACTCATCCTGTGGGAGACAGTCACACCATACCCATCCTGTGGGAGACAGTCACACCATACCCATCCTGTGGGAGACAGTCACACCATACCCATCCTGTGGGAGACAGTCATACCATACCCATCCTGTGGGAGACAGTCACACCATACCCATCCTGTGGGAGACAGACCACACCATACCCATCCTGTGGGAGACAGTCACACCATACCCATCCTGTGGGAGACAGACACACCATACCCATCCTGTGGGAGACAGACACACCATACCCATCCTGTGGGAGACAGACACACCATACCCATCCTGTGGGAGACAGTCACACCATATACCCATCCTGTGGGAGACAGTCACACCATACCCATCCTGTGGGAGACAGACACACCATACCCATCCTGTGGGAGACAGTCACACCATACCCATCCTGTGGGAGACAGTCATACCATACCCATCCTGTGGGAGACAGTCACACCATACCCATCCTGTGGGAGACAGTCACACCATACCCATCCTGTGGGAGACAGTCACACCATACCCATCCTGTGGGAGACAGTCACACCATACCCATCCTGTGGGAGACAGACACACCATACCCATCCTGTGGGAGACAGTCACACCATACCCATCCTGTGGGAGACAGTCACACCATACCCATCCTGTGGGAGACAGTCACACCATACCCATCCTGTGGGAGACAGACACACCATACCCATCCTGTGGGAGATAGTCACACCATACCCATCCTGTGGGAGACAGTCATACCATACCCATCCTGTGGGAGACAGTCACACCATACCCATCCTATAGGAGACAGTCATACCATACCCATCCTGTGGGAGACAGACACACCATACCCATCCTGTGGGAGATAGTCACACCATACCCATCCTATAGGAGACAGTCATACCATACCCATCCTGTGGGAGACACTCACACCATACCCATCCTGTGGGAGACAGTCACACCATACCCATCCTGTGGGAGACACTCACACCATACCCATCCTGTGGGAGACAGTCACACCATACCCATCCTGTGGGAGACAGTCACACCATACCCATCCTGTGTGAGACACTCACACCATACCCATCCTGTGGGAGACAGTCACACCATACCCATCCTGTGGGAGACACTCACACCATACCCATCCTGTGGGAGACACTCACACCATACCCATCCTGTAGGAGACAGTCACACCATACCCATCCTGTGGGAGACAGTCACACCATACCCATCCTGTGGGAGACAGTCATACCATACCCATCCTGTGGGAGACAGTCATACCATACCCATCCTGTGGGAGACAGTCACACCATAACCCATCCTGTGGGAGACAGTCACACCATACCCATCCTGTGGAGACAGTCATACCATACCCATCCTGTGGGAGACAGTCATACCATACCCACTCCTGTGGAGGACAGTCATACCATACCCATCCTGTGGGAGACAGTCATACCATACCCATCCTGTGGGAGACAGTCACACCATACCCATCCTGTGGGAGACAGTCACACCATACCCATCCTGTGGGAGACAGTCATACCATACCCATCCTGTGGGAGACAGTCACACCATACCCATCCTGTGGGAGACAGTCACACCATACCCATCCTGTGGGAGACAGTCATACCATACCCATCCTGTGGGAGACAGTCATACCATACCCATCCTGTGGGAGACAGTCATACCATACCCATCCTGTGGGAGACAGTCATACCATACCCATCCTGTGGGGACAGTCATACCATACCATCCTGTGGGAGACAGTCATACCATACCCATCCTGTGGGAGACAGTCATACCATACCCCTCCTGTGGGAGACAGTCACACCATACCCATCCTGTGGGAGACAGTCACACCATACCCATCCTGTGGGAGACAGTC